ACACACAAACACACACACACACACACACACACACACACACACACACACACAAAAATATCCATAAAATCGTGGTTGGCAGCCTGAGGAAGATGGATTACCATAGAAAGCTAGCTGTTTGTCTGATTTATTTTTAGCGGTCTAACAAATTTTTCACCTGCTCTTGCATTTATATTAAGGACCCCATGGCCTTTTTCTAATCCTTTCCAAGAAGTCAATGGAAAAAACAATTTTGGAAACCCTACTCCCCTGATAAATATTTCTGTCTACAATTTGTTTTGCATAAAGTAATTGGGGCGGGTTCCTCCTATCACAAAGGAAAGCATCTAAGTAGTACTGCATCATTTGCTTTTGTGACCAGAGAAATGTCTGGCGATAATGATCAGGCGTTGGAGGATTCCTGCATAATAATAACTTTCTGGTTTGTAATCTGATGCCTTTGCTTCTTGCTCATAGGCTTTATCTTTATTTCTTTAGAAACAGAAGGATTGTCAAAAGAAGAGTTTGGTTCCTGGTCATTAGAGAATGCTTTATCACAGTTAGCTGAACTGAAAAAAAAATCTGATAGGAAAAGAAATCTACATTTCTATATGCCCCATATTGCACATTTAGCAGAAATATTTAGGATCTTGTTTTTAAAAAAACATTATTATCTAGTTTTATTGCATACCTTTAGGCTGACCAGTTCTAGTGTAACTGTTCTGCTGTAACATCAGATAATGCAATGTATTTTCCCTTTGAAATGAATGAAACATAAAACTGCATAGCTTGCTTGCGTCTCAAACACCTGTTGCCCTGAAAACCCCATACTTGGAAATTATCACTGAGTCCATGGTATAATATGACGTATGCAATATTAGGTTCCCATTAACTGCTGGGTGTGCACGCATGACAGAGAGCATGAATGTACCTGGATGAGCCTTTTCTGGGTTGCCCATCACAAGCTGTGAAAAGAGTACTGAAGATAGTGCCTCCTCTGTCAGTTTTACAGTTCTGTTGCCAAAATAGTTTCTATTTTATGACCCATTAGATCTGCTCCTTTATTATATGGCAACTGCTAGAACTGGTTTGTTGACATGGTTCAATATAACTGCCTGCAATCTCTTATTTTTTATCTTCCTTTGAGGCATGGCTGTAGAGACAGCCTTTTTGAACATCCGAACATCAATATTTGCTGCAAATCACCTTTTAGGACAGGCAAAGGGAAGTATTTTTCCTACTAATCAATAACATACAGAATTTGCTTTCACAAGATGTGATGGCCATTAATAACAGCAGGTTTTAAACTGGATTAATAATAATACTTTGGGTAAGTGGCGCAGTCCCAGAGCAACCCCAGAAGAAGGAAATGGTAAACCATTTCTGAGTATTCTCTGCTTAGAAAACCCTAGAAAGGGTCACCAAAATTGCATGGGATTAGACAAATCTATAAAAATAAAAGTACAACCCTACACACTCTTATTTAGGAGCAAATGTCATTGATTGCAATAGATTTTATATCTATATAAGCATGTCAATGATTGCAATGTGTATTTGTCATTGCTACTGTAAGGCTGTAAGAATTTAGGATTGCCTGCTTCTAGTCATGATGGCTTCCACCCTTCTGATCGAAAGCATTGTGCTGGGGACCATCACTGGTGGAGGGTTCCTGGGCTATACCCTGCTTGTGTTATGGGCTTCCCATAGGTATCTGTTTAGCTGTGGTGAGAAATAGGATGCTGCACTAGAAGGGATTTTGGCCTCACACAACAGAGTATCTAACAAGGAAATGCCAAGAGGATTTGATACTGAAATTTCTTGATCAATTTCCAGTGATTTAAAGCTATACTACTACTGCTGCTGCTGCTGCTGCTGCTGCTGCTGCTGCTGCTGCTGCTGCTAATTATTATTATTATTATTATTATTATTATTATTATTATTATTATTATTATTATTATTATTATTATTATTATTATTATTATTATTATTATTATTATTATTATTATTATTATTATTATTATTATTATTATTATTATTATTATTATTATTATTATTATTATTATTATTATTATTATTATTATTATTATTATTATTATTATTATTATTATTATTATTATTATTATTATTATTATTATTATTATTATTATTATTATTATTATTATTATTATTATTATTATTATTATTATTATTATTATTATTATTATTATTATTATTATTATTATTATTATTATTATTATTATTATTATTATTATTATTATTATTATTATTATTATTATTATTATTGCATTCTATACCAGAGCAGTGGGATGTGGTGGCGCTGCGGGTTAAACCACAGAAGCCTCTGTGCTGCAAGGTCAGAAGACCAGCAGTCATAAGATCGAATCCATGCAATGGAGTGAGCTCCCATCGCTTGTCCCAGCTCCTGCCAACCTAGCAGTTCGAAAGCATGTAAATGCGAGTAGATAAATAGGTGCCACCATGGTGGGAAGGTAACGGCATTCCATGTCTAGTTGTGCTGGCCACGTGACCTCAGAAACTGTCTACAGACAAACAATAGCTCTATGGCTTGGAAAAGGGAATGAGCACCACGCCCTAGAGTCAGACATGGCTAGACTAAATGTCAAGGGGAACCTTTACCTTTACCTATACCAGAGCACATTCCAGTAGTCAAAAACAGTTAAAATACAACCATTATACATTAGTGTTTATTTCAGTGTTTAACATTTTCTTGATTAAATATTCTAAATAACAGTAGAAATTTTTCCACCCACTAACCGACCAGTACAAAAAGATATTAGGTTACTAGATTTCTCTCTTCATCAGAAAATTTGAAACAAAATTTGAAATTATGGCTTGGAAAACCTTGTCCTTACAATGTAGCTTTTAAATCTGGATCAATTTTGATCACTGTTACTCGGAAATGTGACTGAAATCCTGTTGCCTAGCACAGTAAATTACAACTAGAGTTGTGGAAATTACAGAAGAGTTGATTCATCAAATCTGCACTAATCTAATGGGCCTACTCTTGTTGTGACTCACTACACTAAGCTACAGGATTGCAACCAATATGTTCTAATTAGAGATGGAGGTATTCGTATAGGAATACTCCCATCTCTAGTTCTAATATACTATCTGTTCTTCATTTTATAGCTTACAGTGATGAGTGGTATGTCACAATGTTATACAGCATACAATGCATATACAGAATATGGATATATAGAATAGTTTCCTATAGGCAAATGGGCCCAACACAGGTGTATTTTATCCCCTTATGTGTTCACTCTGCACACAGAACATATCACATGGAAAGCCA